AGTGTAATTACTTTGTTAGTTCCAATTTGTAATAATTAGCTAGAATAGTTAGTTAATTGTGGTGTTGTAATAATTAGCTAGTATAGTTAATTTATTTCATTTGGTTTTTTAACAGCTAGTTAATAAGCTTAAATTAGCTAGTCCATTCATTCGGACCCTCCTGTGCGAGGACAAATATGTAATAATGCGTGTATGTCTTCCAACCTCACGTCTTTCTCTTTTTTATTTACCCGCTTATGATGGATAGTTTAGAGCGTCACATTTCATTTAGCATTTTTCATGATTTGCATCCATGTGTATTGCATGCATAAGGTTTGGCTCATCATTCTAACAAGCATTGTCGTTCAAATACTTCTTTGAAAACGTGTTTAAGACTGCATGTTATTAAATTGATTCGAATGCTATGCTAGTAGCTGGACTTCTAATTATATATTGCATGTGTTGCATTAGGCATATTTCATTAGTTAGGACTATGCATTTTTCTAACTAGTTTCCCTCTTTTGGCTTGCCTCGAGAATTAGGATAAGCATTTATTGCTTTAGCATTTTGCATGTATGTGATTGTTGCCATGTCAAGCATGATTACCATGAGGCTAAGTACTTAATTGATATACTTGCTTGAATACTACTGGATGAAGGCTAATTGCTTGAATTGGAATGTTTCGATGAATGTACATATGAGATCACTTTTTCAAGTGGTACATATTCAAATTTTTTTCAAATAAACATGAAATCAAAATGTTCCAATTTTTTTTTTGCAAAGTAGTCTCTACTTGTGTGCATCACATAGTAAGTTAGCCTAATAAATCGGAACAAGAGCATATAATGTAAATAAGAATCACATCATAATTAGTAGAGGTCGATCTTTGATCGGACGAGTAGGGTGCTCAATTCATGACCTTCCCCTCTCGTACCGAAGTTCCCAAGCTGAGACACTTTGATGATGACGGATAAGTGGCCTTTGGTACAAGTCTCGGGTTTCCTAAATTTTTTAAAATATTTAGGTAGCAACTCTGAAATCTGGCAAAACAATCCATTTTTGGCATTTTGATTCAAAATCAATTTTTCAAAAGAATTGCCAGATTTGGACTCATTTGTGTTTATCTATTTCACATTGTACTTGTGGAATTAGATTCAGAATCACGGAAGTCCGAACTGTAGGGCTAGTCGTCTCCGAAAGGAGCACGAAAAGCAAGCTACACCATTGTAAAGCGAATCCCTCCACTTCGATTTACACTAGGGCTGAGCAAGGAATCTGTATAATTCATAATTTGATCCGGTCTAATTTAATCCGATAGGATTAGATTGGTTTTTTGAATCCATGGTTCAGTTTCGGATTAGAAATTTAAAAATCTGTAGGCCACGGATCGGTTCAGGATTGGAACCGATCCGGACCATATAAATTTAGTCTATATTTATACCATACACCCTTCCACATAATATAATTTTATGTTTCATATAAAAGCTAAACACTAACCCTAATTTACCTCACACGCCACTCAGCTCACTCACTCACTACTGCCTCTTACACTCTCATCTCTCTCTCTCTCGATACTCTCTATTTTTTCTCTTTCTCAGACACTCTCCAATCATCCATCTCCAATCATCATCCATCTCCAATCACCATGCATCTCCAATCATCCATCTCAGATCTTTAACTTTACACGCCGTTCACCAACTGGCTTCTCACACTTTTATCTCCCTCTCTCTCTCTCTCTATCTCTCTCTCTCTCTCTCTCTCTCAGTACTCTCTTTCTCTTTTCTTTTTCTCAGAAACTCTCTGATCCTGCATCTCCGATCATCATCTATCTTCGATCATCCATCTTAGATTTTCAACCTCACACGCCGCCCACTCACTACCTCACACAGTCTTATCTCTCTCTCTCTCTCTCTCTCTCTCTCTCTCTCTCTCTCTCTCTCTCTTCTCTTTCTTATACACTCTCAGATTCTCCATCTCCGATCATCATCCATCTCAAATCGGTAGCTGTAGCTCTCTCTCTCTATCGGTGAGCTCCGTCTATCTATATATATATATGTGTGTATATATTATATTTTGTTCTTGTGGGAATCATATTCTGTTTGTTGATTTTTCCAACCTCAGATTTGTCATATTTGATGAATAAATCTGTTTGAGCTCTCTCTCTCTCTCTCTCTCTCTTTCTCGGTGAGCTCTCTCTCTCTGTTGATCTATAAAAAATCTCTGTTGATTGTTAATCATTGTGTGTGTATCTCAGATTATTGTTCATCTCTGTTGATCATTGTTCATCTCAGATTATTTTTCTATTTTTATATGGGTCTGTGTATAGATCTGTCTTTAAAAATCTTTGTTGATATGGGTGTGTGTATAGATCTGTAAAAAAAATCTCTGTTGATTGTTGATCATTATATGTGTATCTCAGATTATTGTTCATCTATGTTGATCATTGTTCATCTTAGATTATTTTTCTATTTTTATATGGGTGTGTGTATAGATATATTTTTATCTTTCAATTTTTATCTATTTTTAAGTAACAGATACCTGTATCATTGTTAATCAATCTGTGCCATTGTTAATCAATCTATTTGTTCGTAAATTTTTTTATCAATCTATCTGTAAGTAATCAATCTGTCATACTTGTATCATTATTAATCAATTTATCTGTAAGTAATTTTTTTTTTTTATATGGGACATATCTGTTTTGTTATTTAATTATGGAGATCCATGGTCATAATCCGATCTAATCCGTATTTAAACGGATTGGTTAGACGATTTAAATGGATTAGATTGGTTCCGATTTTTCAAGAATCGTAGAAAACGGATTGGTCCTGGTTTTATCTCAATCCGGACCATGCTCACCCCTAATTTACACCATGTCAAAAGAGTGGACTGGGCTTGGGGTAATAATAGTGCAATTTTTGGTTGGTAACAAGCTGATCTGCTTTTTGGGCCTTCTAACTTGGGCTTCAAACTTACTTTACTATAAAACCTTCGGCCTGGAGCCCATTTTTTATAAATGGGTTTGAATTTGGGGTGATCGACACCACTACACTTACCCGAGCAGAAGTGGTGTCCCAATCCTATAAATTTTCCTATACTCTATTTTTTGAGTGAAAAAAACAACTGCCTTATTGTCGCATTATGTGATTTCTACCCTCTATTCCATTTATCAATAACTAGCCTATCACCCGTGCTATGTACAGGATAATTATAGATATTTATATTTGTTTTAATTTTTTTTTAATATATAAATTATGTTTTTAAAGATTTTTTATAAAAATAATTTAACAATCTTATCACTAACCATAGTGTACAGGAGAAATTAGAAAGGCAACTGCAATTACTATGCACTGGCTGTATCTATGATTATTTGTATAAGAGAATTTTAAATGCTAATCAGGGATTTTGACCAAATCAATAAATGCAAGCATGTAGATTGGAAAAAGTTAATAAATGTTGATCAGGGGATTTTGACCAAATCAATAAATGTTGAGGTTTTTTTTTAAATCAAAAATTTAGAAAATTAAGATTGATAGATTGGAGCTCCCACAAGGCTTGGGGTTTAGAAATCCCCTTTTTCTTCATATACTTACAATTATCTATATATGTAAATTGCGATTTTTAAATGTCTTTTTTTTTTTTTAAATGTCTTCTTTTTTTCCTTTTTTATATTATATTAAAGGTTTATATTTTGATAATAATCATATGTGTTGGACTTTTCAAGGAATTAAATGTCTTCTTTTTTTTTATTATATTAAAATTTAATATTTTGATAATAATCATATGTGTTGGACTTTTCAAGAAATTTTTTTTATACTTGTTCTTAATGCATTAAAGTGTTATTATAAGGGATAATAATCATATGTGTTGGAACTTTTCAAGGAATTCATATGTGTTGGATTTCAAAAAAAAAATTTATGCTTGTTCTTAATGTATTAAAATGTTATTATGAGGGTAAGACTTGGGGGTTGGGAGAAGTTAATAAATGCTAAGGGTTTTTTTTTTTTTAAATCAAAAAATCAGAAAATTTAGATTGGGAGATTGGAGCTCCCACAAGGCTTGGGATTAAAAACTCCATTTTGCTTAATATATAGTATAAATGTTACATTCTCTTAATTTATCATTTTTAAATGATTCTTAATAATGTGACTTTGAAGTTAGATACTACGCAATAGAATATTTGACAAATTAAAATTTGACACTTATTAGAAATATCATTAAGTGTGATTTTTAAGGGTGATGTAGTGACCCAGATTTTTTTTTTTTTTTAAACAGCTAGTGCATAATTCAATTGAGCAAATTTTTGAATTTGAGTGATGTGTAAACTCTGTGTGAAAATAGTTTGGTTTTGTATTTTTTAAAAATAGTTACCGATCTCAGAAAATTATGAAATTTTTAAATGTTGTTTCCATATGAGTCTAGCACGTTGGATAAAAATTTCAGAATTAAATGATGAGTATTTATTTTATGAAAATTCACGGACTGATTGGTGTTTAGTTTAATTTATAGCAGAATTTTGTTATTTAAATTTTAATGTTTAAATCATGATTTGGATAGATTTGTTGGATCTAATTTGATATGTAATTGGGTGATGTTTGGCTTATGAGTGGGAATTTAAATTCAAGACCCATGACTTAGATTTAATTTAAATTGAGTTTGTTTAATAACTTATGTTTAACTGTTTGGGCCTTTTTAATTATGTGATTGGTAGTAACCATATTGGGAGTTGTTATTATTTATTATATAAGATTATAATAAATATTTAATAGTTGATTTTATGGTATGTACCATATGGTAAAAAAAAATTATATATTTTTGTAGTGAATAAAATGAGTGTATATTTCGTGGTGAGCAAAATATTATATTTTGTAATGTAAAAAAAATATCATATTTTGTAGTGAGAAAAATTATGTCATTTTATAATTTATATTATAAAATTTGAAAATATTATTACAAAAATTGTAATATTTTTGGATTTTTTTTTTTTTTTTTTTTGGGAAAACCACAAAAAGCCACATGGGGTTGTCTCCCCCATGCCTTTGCCTTCCCCTCCTTTTTGCCTTTCGTTTTGCAAAACTCTCTCTCTCTCTCTCCCCATGTTCACCATTTTTCTCAAACTTTAAGCTTAAAATGAGAGTCTTTAGAGTGAGATTTTGTAAAAGTGTTGTAAACAAAAGTTGGAGAGCTCCTCTTGATCTTCACAATGGTAGTCTCAGATTCATGATCAGGTAAGATTTGCCTTCCAGATCCGCTTTTCTTCATTTTTTGAGGTAAGAAATTTCTCCATATTTTTACATTAAAGCTATGTTAGGGTATTTTGAGAAAATATATCATTATAAAAGGTATTGCATATAAATATTTTTCATATTTTTGTTTGGTAATTTTTTAAAGAAAAATTATGTTGAAACGTTAAGAATGTTGGTATTTTGATATTGATTTTTGAAAAATCATTTTGTGTTGTTAATTTTGTAAGAGAAATTTGAAAATAGAATTTAATAGTTGTATGGATTATATCTACATCATATTATAGTTAGATAATTTATTTTGAGAAATTAATGTTGAAATATTTATCTCATCCTTGAGTTTTGGAATTTATTTTTAAGAAAAATAAATTGATATTGAGAAATATAGTGTAACTTGTTAAGTAGAGATTTTTCCTACACTTTTTTATGCACTTTTACTTGATTATATGGAGTTTAGAGTTGTATATAATTTAATTAGAATTTTTGAAAATTTTGTGTTTTATTTGCTTAAAAGAGAAATTTTGAGAAAAATAAAAAGTTGATGCCCAAATTGTGAAAGTGTAAACTTGGAATATGTTTGTAAGGTTATGAAAGAGTTATATTTTAAATTTGAATAAAAACGGACTTCGATTCGATTGGTTTTGAAATTTTTACCGGTTTGTAGCCAAAAGAGCATTTTTAAAGAAAACAAAGGAATTATGTTTAACTTTTGGGGCTTTCGATCAAAATAAGATGTCATAGCTAAATAATGCTTAGAGAATGAGTTTGGAAAGAAAATGATGTTTTCTTGGGCATTAACGGTATTATTTTACTTAATGTATTTGTTGGAATAAAACTGACACGGTTAGAAATGAACCTTGAGAGGTTACCAGACATGATTGTGATATGAAAAGTAGTGTAGTTGTTCATATTTGATAAAATATGGAATATGATTTGTTTCTAAATGATGGGAATCATGGGAGATTCCAAATTGGATTGTATGTCCATGTTGTTATCTTTTAATTAATATGTTAAAGATAACTATTTTGGCTATCAGTGAAAATTTACCATGTTGCATGTAAATGAGGGATTTCTTGGAAGGATGAGAAATGATGAAACTTTAGAAGTTTGATATATAATATGTTATAAATTTGTCTTGAAATGACTAAATTGGGAATGTTGATTAACATGTGGAGACTATATGAATATGGATATGATTGTATTATCTCTTGGAATTGTATTAGAAATTATATTGAAATGAGAAATGAGAATTTTGATCAAAATGGTAATATTTAATAAGTAGAGATTTTCTACACTCTAATATGGTTTTTAACTTAGTTATTTGCTATTGTGTATAGATGATGAGATTTGGTTGTGGTTTGGACAAATCTAGGATTTGGGTGCGAAATGAAAAGAGGGGTATTTGATGAATATGAGGCAATTGAGTATAAATCTTGAATATAAGAATATGTTGTGCCAAAATAATTGATTTTGGTGTTTGGGTTGATATTTGGTGAAAGAGAGATTTTGCCCTAATTTTGATTAAATTAATATTTTGTATAAATAATTGGGATTAGCATTGAAAATGTGAAATTGGAAAGTTATGGGTATAGATGGTGAAATTAGATATGTATTATCTTACACTTTTGGAAGTTGTGAATAAACTATTTATCTTGAAATTGAATATATGTCTAGAGATAAATGTATTGGGTTATCGGTGGAGGATAGTCATAATTGTTGTAGAAATTGTATGAGGATTAGGTGATTTAATACTAATCTATTGTTGGTTGTCATTGAATATGACCGTGCTATAAATACATTGTATATGTATGTGTATTGGGAGGAGATAGGGGATTTACTCCATATATGAATATGTTTACAAATACATTGTATATGTATGTTTATTAGGAGGAGATAGGAGATGTACTCTATATGTGATTATGTTTATAAATACATTGTATATGTATATTTGTTTGCGAGGAGAAAAGGGGTGGACTCCATTTAAAGCAAGTTGGCCGGAGTGTCCTGGGTGAAAGACCCGAAATTTTATATATAAATGGGTGCTGATTCCTTCAGACGAAATATCCGGAAAATGGCACGTTTGAAGTGTTTACGTGTGTTGTGCATAATTGGAAAACCATTGAGTTGTAGTCTCATTTTGGTTGTTGAACGATAATGAATTTAACTCATGAATTGAATAGCATATATGAACTGGATATGAATTGAAGGAAAATGGAATAAGATTGGTCTTAGTGGCATATGAATATGTAGGCCTTGGATTTAAGAGATTTTGTAATAAAATCATATGGTTTTGACATGATATAATTTCACGTATATGTATAAGTATCTTTGTCCCCGCATATCTTTTAATGTTTTAATATGAGATTGTTCGGTGGACTTTGCTCACCCCCTGCCTGTACATGTGTACAGGGAATGCTTTTCGGATTTGAAAATCAAACCATGGGTTTTACCATTTCATAAGTGTAATGTAGTAATGGATTGTACTACTTCACTTGTCGTTTGGCCGAGTGCTAGGCAATAGCATGGATGGACTTTCGGGAAGCAAGAGCTTCTTAATTATGTTTTGTTGTGTGTATGTTGGCATTTGTAAAGTCAAGGGCTTAAGACGTAATAAGCGAGACTCAATTTGTATAAACAAGCAATGACTTGGAAAGATGTAAGCCTACATGGCATTTAACTGGTTGTTAAACAGTAGACTCTGATGTATGAAGGTATGTTATTTCTCATATTTATTCCGCATATAAGTTATCTTTATTGTATTATTTTGAGGGAATGACAGGTGATAAATGAAGTGTCTCAAGCATTCTTCTCTATTTATACCAATTTTTTTTTTTTTTTTAGATAAGACATTTATGCCGATGGTTAAGTAAAAAAATTGACATTCTTCATCCAAAATTAGAAAAGAATTGTACATTAGACACTACAAGAAATGAAGGTTTTAGAGAAACAAATTTAGGAACAAAATCACTTTTTAGACACAATATTTTTGTCACCAAACTGTTATTATTTTATTGGATAAATTATGCAAATGGTCCATGTAATTTACACGATATGTTAATTTGGTCTATATTATTTTAATTTGCTCGATTTTGTTTATTAATTTAACGGATTGTGTCAATTAGTCCAATAAATAATGACTATTAGATTTGGTGGACATGTGTCATATTTTAATGGATAGGTTGTTTGGTAATTTTAGCAAATAGGAAAATAGGTTTGGTAAATTTCAATAGATAGACAAATTGGATGATTTCAATAGGTAGATAGATAAGCTTATTTCAACATATAGTGTTCTTTTGGATAAATTGTGTCTTTTTTGCCCAAAGAGATTAGAACTTGGATCTAATAGTCTAAAAGATTTAAAAATAGACCTATGGTTTGAGTTGCAAAAAATATATTAGTTTAAACCCAATGTTTGTGCCTCTCCCTAAACCCTAAAACTCTCTCACTTTTCTCTTTAGATTTTCCTATAAGGTAAGAGATAGACCGTGGTGGTTCCTCTACCTCTCTGATCTTCCTCCCCTCTTCTCTCTTTCTCTCTCTCTCCCCTCGAATCATCCTCTAGATTTGGTTCTTATTTCAGATTTGATGTTTGCCTTACCAATACGGTCATCACCACCTTACTTTCTCCACTCTCGAGCCTAAAACTTTAAAATCTAGTTTCAGATCTTTTTACAATTTGAAGGCCAATGCTGGATAATGCGTTTGTTTCACGCTAAACCATCACAATGTTAATGTTCTATCTTGACCGGAAAATGTGAGGTCTTCCGATTCTAAGTTGAAGGCTGCGGAGCGATGGAGTTTTAAATGAGTTCGATGGTGACTTGGATTTGATTTTTGGTGTTTTAATTTTTAATTTGTTAATGTAATAATCATTTGTTTCCCTCCCTTATGAGGGTCTTTTTTCCTCCTCTATAGAAGCTTGGATCCTTTCTTCTATGGAGGTTGTTCATCTCTTTTTGAGATCTTATGACATTGCTGTACTAGATGAATCTAATCTTTTATTAGTTTTACAATGAAGATTTATTTCCCGATTAATATAAATAAATAAATAAAAACTGTCCATGCATTTCTATTTGAAAGGTCAAAGGGTCTAGTGTAGGGATCAATAATCTCTTCCATTTTATGAGGTTTAATGTTGTGTAACTCAAATTTCATCTTATCTGAATGACTCGAATTTTGTCTTGATGGTTGATTGGCCAGTTATCCGGTAAGAAGGCTAACAATCGCGGTTGACAAGGTAACAACTGCGGTAGACAAGTGTTGCACTGATTGTCCAGGCAATCAACTGGCAAACACAAATTTAAACCATTCGGGCAAGATGAATTCGAGCTATCAATATTTATTTTTATCATTAATTTCTAGTTGAGCTAGTTGTTTCTTTTCCATTATAAGAAACACAGTGTTGGATTGTTATAATTGTTCGATTCTTATTGTCAAGAGATAATTTTATTTATGTTGCAAATAATTTTTTATTGAGAAAAAGTCTTCTTTTTTTAATATCCTTTTTACAACTCGTTTGGGAATTAATTTTCTGAGTAATTTTAAATTAAAAATATTATGAAAAGAGGTATTAAAAAAGGAGCAAAACTAATTTGATAATATGTAGTATTTTTTTTTTTTAACTAAAATATTTAGTTTCCAAACATTCTTAGAGTTGTTTTAAAAATTGTTTTTTCAAGTGATTTTTTAAATTTTTTTTCAAAAAATATGTAAAAAAAACTTCTTTTTTTTTTTATATAATGACTTTGAATTTTTTAATCAAAATTATGACTTCCCAAAATAGTGTTAGTTGTGTTGGCATTGAAAAAGTTTGAAACGTCAACACTTGCACATTCAAAGCATTTTACTTTCATCTCATTACAAAATTACTTACACCTCATGTATTTTTATAATTTTTTTTTAACCGTCCACTGTATTATAGTTTTTCCAAATTGTTACCACCATTGATGTTCTAGAAGCAATGGATTTCTCCCATGTATGAACGAGTGCAATTTTTTGGAAATTAATAATTAATAATTAAAAAATAAAAGTTAAAAATATTTATTCATTTTATGTAAATTATTTTGAATAAATAAATTATAAGTAAAAATTATATCAAATAGTAAAAAAAGACTATAAATAATTTAGAGAAACTGTACCAAATGATAAAATTATTTTCAAAAGAATGTTGTAAGAATAAAAATTTTGTATAAAGAGCGTGTTTAGAAACTTGACTATTTTAATCGATTTTTTTAGCTTTTTGGCTATGAAAAATATTTGAGACACCTAATTTAGTGCTCATTTGGCAATGAGTTTTTTAGTTGATTTTTTAGTTTTTTTGACTTTTTTAGTATTTTTGTTTGATTTTTTTGACTTTTTAGCTTTGTTTTGGCAAATTTTTTTTGTCCTTTTGTGATTTTTTAGCCAAAAAAAACCGAACAACCCCTTATCATTCCTACAAACTACTTTAATGATGTGTTTGACAAGTGTCAAATTTTGATTTGTCAAACATTCTATCATATGTGATCTAACCTCAATGCCATATCATTAGGGATTATTTATGAGTGATAAATTAGGAGATATAGCATGGTTGTTTACCTATTTTATGAGATGGGGAAAAAAAATTGTGTTTGGGATGATTAGACTATTTTAGTCGTAGTTGAATAAATGCTTGTGAGGAAAAAGTGAGTAACTGATTGATAGGTACGATGTGATAGTTTATTTTATTTGTTATTTTAATCTCTTTTTTTTTAATTTTTATTGGCTATTTTAGCTAAAAAAAATCAAAAAATAAATAAATAAATAAAGTAGCATCCCAAACAAGGCCAAGTTTGAATTAAGAATCATGTGGCATTCTTTAGTAGGGGTGAGCAGCGAGTATATCGATCCGCCCAAACCGACCAAACCAAACCGATCAGCCGCATTTTGAACCGATGCGTGATGACGAGCGGATGGTTGTGAATTGATTTTTTCCAATCTGCCTAGTTTTGGACGGATGGCGGATTTGAGATTCATTTAGCCGTAACCAAACCGCCAAACAGCGAGTACCCCTAATAATTTGTAAAACTTTATGTTTTCAATTTATTTAGATATTTTGTTTGTGTTTTCAATTGAAAAAAAATTTAAATATTCTGTTGAATATGTTCTGTTGAAAAAGAGTTTTCAACTTAAATATATTTTTTAAATTGAAAAAAATAAATGTATTATTTATCTATATTTTTTGATTTTTAAATCTAACTCTAAAAATAATAAATAAAAAAGATGATATATGCTGGTTGATTTTTATTTTCAAAAATAGATATAGATGTAACAATAAAGAAGCATACAATCTCTACTACTGCTTTGTTTATGATTTTGGTGGTTTGAATTGCTTTTATATTTTAATAATCATATATTGTAATACTTTATGTGGATAAGGCATGTTGTGATTGTAATATGTGGATGATGCATTCACTGATTATAATATTCTAAAGTTTCAGACTTTCTTTTTTTGGATGAGGCATGTAATGATTGTAATACTTTTTTAAGTCATTGACTGCAATACTCTTTTTTTCTTTTTTTTTTGAGGAAGTGCACAAGTTGAATTATGTTAAAAATTTATAAAATTTTAAACCGTCAAACCGATTCACATCCATCCGCCAATCCGCTCAATCCACATCCGCCAGATTAGCGAACGGATGCGGATTGATTTTCTCTAATCTACCAATCCGACAGATGAATGGCAAATTAAAAATTCCATAACCGCAACCGACCCGCGCCCACCCCTATTCTTTAGATCTTATCACTTTGAAAACAGAATTCCTATAATGCAACTCATATTTTTAAGATTACTATTGATACATCATTTTGGTATAAAATTTTGTATAAATTTTTTTTTTTTGTAAATCACAGTTTTTGTCAAAATGATTAATTAATAGGATATTTGTAACTTATGATTATGATAAAAAATTGTTATTGTTGGTGCTAGCCTTTTCTTCTCTAACTCGCTTACTCATTCTTCTATAATAACACATAAAAAAAACAAAAATAAAAACAAAAAAACAAAAACAAAAACAAAAAACAAAAATAAAAAGAAAATAGAAAAGAAAATGTCAAATATATTCATAAAAACATATGGAGAAATATCAAATAAGTGAAACAGTGAGAAAGAATATAAAACTCATGGAAATTCTCGAAACAAATCAGTCTGGTATCTGACACAAGTTTATACAAGGACTTGCTTAAAAAAGATTTTTCATAAATTTGATATTTCTGTCACTATCTCAATGAGTTGATATTTATCTATAGAGATGACAATTTGAACCCGACTCGACGGAAACCTGACTCCCTGACCTTGATTTGAGCATTTTTTTTCGAAAAATATCTCCAACATAACGTGGATGGTATTTAAAAATCAATCCCCGATTAGATTCGGGTCGGGGATGGGGATAAGTGTCCCAACCCCGTACCCGGCCTGTCCCCGTCCCCGTCCCGGTCTCCATTTGTCCCCGAAGTGAAATTACTAGTTTACCTCTATATATATATATACACATATGATAACCAAACCCTCATCCTCATCTCAGTTCTGTCTTCCTCTGTGTCTCTCTCTTTCTCTCTTCTCTCTACTCTCTCTTTCTCTTTTCCCTCTACTCTCTCTCTCACTCTCGCACTATTCGAGACGTCGATCGTCACTGTCCGTGACGCCAATCGGCCTCCTTCGTCGTCCATTGCCTCCGTCCTCACAATCACAGCCACCCATCGCCTCCAAATCTCCAATCATCCTCCTCCGTCGTCCATCGCCACTGTCCGCGACGCCAATCGTCCTCCTTTGTCTACCATCGCCTCCTCTGATCTCCTCCGTCGTCCATCGTCACCGATCATCCACCTTCTCTCTCTCTCTCTCTCTCTCTCTCTCTCTCTCTCTGAGATGAAATTAAAATTTTATTACTACAGGGGTTAAAAGATAAAAAAAAAATTTACCGTATAGACAAATACCCGATCGTCCACTCTCTCTCTCTCTCTCTCTGTGACACAGATCTCAAATCTGTTTGTGTATGTATGTATACATATATGTCTGTGTGTATCTGTCCATTTTTTTTTTTTGGTTTATGATATGTTGATGATTTTATTGGTATGTTGATGTTGAAAATGATATGTTGATGTTGATGATTCTGTTGATATTGATAATGATAATGATGATGATGATATTGTTGAAAATGATATGTTGATGTTGATGATTCTGTTGATAATGTTGATAATGATGATGATGTTGATGTTGTTGTTGTTGTTGTTGTTGATGATGATGGTGTTGAAACATATTTGGGGGGGCGGGAAATTTTCGGGATTGGGAAAATTCGATCCCCGTTAGGGGACGGAGATGGGAATGGTGGTAGGTTATTTGTCGGGGATCGGGGTCGGGGCCAGGGCTGGGGCCAGGGAGATTTTTACAATTGGAGACAGGGAGTGTGATCCCTGACCGCGCCCTGGCCCATTGTCATTCCTATTTATCCAAAACATATTGGGTTAGGTCATCATTGACTTAAAATGTTGGCAAAGATTGATTTAATATTGCAAATATGATCTTCACAAAACATAATAATAGCATTAGAGGTCCTATCATATCACTTATGAATCTTCACAAAATTCATTAATAAATTAAGTTGCTACCTCCAAACGCTTGACAAAAGCTGCTTAGATGTGACAATGAAATTCTAAAGCATATATGGAAGAACTTGCAAGGAGTGCTGGATTTGAAATTTTGGAGGGGACGCTATACAATGCTACTAAACAATTCGTATAAAGCAAAATGTTTGTCAAATAAATCTAAGAATATAAAGGGTTCGTTTGAGAAGTGGATTAACTTTTTGACATTTTGATTATTTTTAGTTTGGAACTAAAATGTCTCGTTTGGGATATTATTTTTAGTTTAGAACTAAAATGTCTCGTTTGGAATGAGTTTTTTTAACTTTTTTGACTTTTGTGAGAGTAAAATTATAATGATTGTAAGTTTGATGTGATGTTTTTATTTTATTAGATTAAAAAGCTTATTTTGTTTTTTAGTAGTTATTTTAGCCAAAAGAATCTCAAGCCTCAACTTCCCAAACATAGGCAGAAACGTTACTAAACTAGACATAAAAAAATATGAATGAATAACATTCTTTTAAATGTGTATATTCATATTTTGTGTTCTTTTCTAATAGATTTCTGTACTCGTACTGAATTTTTGTCTATTTCATAAGGGTTATAGTATAGCTAGGCCACTCTTAGTTTTACCTATTTTGAATTCAACAGAGTAAAGTTGCATTGCTTTGGAGGGAACCAAAGTCCTCCGGTTTTACACACACAGGTGTAGATACGAAATCAGATGCCTTTCTTTATTCATTTCACTTTTTTAATAAAACTCATACAATGGTAATTGTCAAGCACAAATTTAATCTAGAGGCTCATACATTAATCACAACATTAAATTTTAACAAGTAACAGCGAGATATTATTAAACTTACACATTTATATTTTTATTTTTATTACAATTATCCTGAGATTTACATTAATGTGACATATAAATCCACTCACTACAAGAAATAACACTTTTGCCGACCAAAAAATTGGTCGCTAAAAGCCCATTTTTAGCCGGCAAAAATTATCTGCGACCAAATTTTGTGGTCGCTACTTTGGTCACCAATTGAGGGCCGCAGAAAGTAATTCACGACCAAAATTTTGATTGGTCGAGAAAAATTGGATTTGCCGACTAAATTTTTTATCGCTAAATATGTCATCACTGCGACAAATCCATTTTGTCGCTAAAACACTTTGGTCGCGAAAAGTGATATTTTTCCGACCAAATATCTTAGTCGCCAATTGTCGCATTTCACGACCAAAAAGTTTGGTCGCCAATTGCACTTTTACCGACTAAAAATTTGGTCAACAAAAGTCCATTTTTAATCGACAAAAGTTATTCGCGACCAATTTTTTTTGTCGCCACTTTGGTCACCAATTGAGGGTCAACAAAAGTAATTAGCGACCAAATCTTTTATTAGTCGGAAAAAAGTTAGATTTATCGACTAAATTTTTGGTTGCTAAATATATCATTACTGCGACTAATCCATTTAGTCGCTAAAACACTTTAGTCGCGAAAAGTGACATATTCCCAACCAAACATGTTAGTCGCCAATTGTGACATTCTACGACCAAACATGTTAGTCACCAAAAGTCATGATCCACAACTAATAGATTAATCGCCAAAAGTCACATTCCACGACCAAACATATTAGTCACCAAAAGTAATGTTTGCGCGACTACGACCAAACTCTTTGGTTGTCAAAAGTTTACCGACTAAATATTTAGTCGCCAAGTGCATCATTTTGCCTACCAACATTTTGGTCGGCAAGACCACAATTTAGTCACCAATATCCAACAAAATAAACCTGCAATTGAAGACAAATATTCCATCCAATCCATTCAATATAATCTGTAATTAAAAAGAATTATTCATACCAACAAAGTATCTGAATCATGAACATTCAACGAAATACATAAATCATCCAATCCTAAACTTGTTTAATAAAAGTTAACCACTATTATAAGTTTACATCCACAAGTAATTCCAAAGTACATATTCCTACAATTTAAATTTTTATCAATGTGCATCTATCAAAAAATATAACTAGTTTACCCAAATATTTTCCATATACACCCATCCAAAAATATAACTACTAGTTTATCGAAATATTTTCCATACACATCTATCAAAAAATGTATAATACTTCCAAAAATGCTTATAGCGCCAATTAGTCCTATGCTATTTACCTTCATGCACGAGTTCATCCATCTGTACCAAAAAAAAAGAAAAAGAATGTCAAGAATTGAATAAAATATATAATTTAAATAAAACTTGTAAAGCTGAGCTTACCTGATTAATGGACAAAGCAGTTCTGTACAGCATGATATCGATGTTATTTTCATGAGCAATTTGCACTTGCTCGCCAAGGATCCTAAACAAATCAACAGCAACAGGTGTATATAGCCTCTCATCATCTGTTTTCTTTGGTGGTTGTACCTTTTCAGCTTCAAGGATATTCAAGTACCATTTCTAGAAAATAGTGACAGCAAATGGCACAGGAAAGACATGTGATTTGAGCAATGTTATATACCAAGTAACAAACCAATAAAGCTATCAAAAAAATTATGATTACCCTTGTTGTAGCTTGCATTCTTTCAACATATGCATTCATAAGGGGATCCATTGCACCACTCTTGGAACAAACTTGAGCTAAGGACTCATCAACACCACGGCTTACCAGATTATCTTGGTATTCAACCACCCAACCAGTAACCTAATTGAAATAGATAAGAAGAACCAATGTAATGAAATTACAACTAGTCAAGGCCACATATCACCTAACATGTAATACTTATGTCTTGGAATTCTAATGAATGAAAGGAATGCAGTTAGTTTAAAGGTAAATGCTTGTCTTATCTGATGGGTTGTTGTTGTTATTTTGAGGGCGTTACATCCAATCTAACAGATAAAAATTAAAATATATATATATATAGAAAAATTGAAGTACTACTCCCCTAAATTTTGCATTTCATGAACTGTAGATTCTTGGCCACTCACTATAATAATTTAGGTTCAAAACGTAAAACAGTATAATAAAAACATAACCAAAACGTCGTGTGTTCATTTGCAAAGTCACACCTTCTCAGGTAGGGATGTCTAAGAGCTTCCTTTGCTTTGAGCTGCTCTGCTCGGTCATATCACAGAAGCCCTTGCAAGAGATCAATCAGATCACTAGCAGAGTGATTCACATGCCGCATTATCATGTTCTGCAATTATTTTTTAAAAAAAAACAAACACACACAGACAGAGAGAGAGAGAGAGAGAGAGAAGACCAAATTAATACATAAAGAAGAGAAGGGAAAATATTATAAGAACAAGATGACAGTCTTTGAAGATATGTTTACATGATCATAAAATAGGCATTATTTATCAATATTGGAAATGCAAAAGACATGGAAAACACTGAACAAGTGGGAAACATACAAGTAGATTGGTGAAACAAGGTTGGAGAACCAACAATATTGGGAATTGATGATTTTTTGAATGGAGTACATCTATACTTCAGAAATCAAAACAGAAACATTTTTTTTGGTTTCATTATATATACCATATAGCATTGCTGATTCAAAATTCAAGTCCTTCCAATCTCAACAAACCTTTATCATGGAGATCATTTTTGTCTTGGTTCCTTTGTGTTCCATGTGGAATAAATTACCGAGCTCTTTTAATATAAACAAATTAATAAGAAGACCAATCCAAAGAAAAGGACAAAATTAAAAGACATAATGAGTATTTGAAATCATATTAAGAATTAAAGATAGCTTTCCACCTAATATTAGATCAGATATAATTATGAGAAAAACTTTTGATCTTGGTTTCTTTGTGTCATGTGGATTAAATTAGCAAGAACTTTTGATATAAACAAAATAATAAAAAGTCCCAACCAAAGAAAAGAGAAAAAAGAAACATAAAATGGGCACCTAATTGGTAATTGAAGTCGTATTAAAAATAAGGATAGCTTTCCACCTAATATTTGATCAAATATAATAGTGAGGAGTTTCTATAAAATAAAATTAATCACACAAGTGGAAAAGCAAAAATTTCTTTTCTTCTTGGACATACCTTTATTTGTAGTAACAAGGAGATTTCCTACAAAAGTTCTAATAACAACAGCAGCTTGTTATTTGTGGTAACAAGGAGACTTCCTACAAAAGTTCTGACACTGATTTCTAAAATAAAAAAAAGAAAAAGCTATAAGCAAAGTCCCATAGGCTGCACCAAACAGGATTTCCTAATGAAATATTTTTTCACCTGACTAATGAAATATTTTTTTATTAAATATCTTTCAGCTTGCAAAAATCCAAAGCTAATGAAATATTTTTGGGTCTATTTTGGTTCTTGTTCATGCCCCCCCCCCCCCTCATTTTTTTGGATGGGGGTTATGAACAGGATTATGTGGTTCGTAGCTCGGGTGGTTTGGCTAGTTTAGTTGTTGTTTTTGTTATGTGGGTTTTTATTTTGTATAGCTCTTGTTAGGGCCTAGGGTATGCCCCTTGTATATCTGTATAGTTTGCTTGTTTTATTTTATGACTTATTCACCCAAAAAAAGAAAATAGAATTGGACCTAAACCAAACCATTATAGTTTGTGGTCGATAAAAATAAAATAAAAATTAAAAAAACAAATATAGTTTGTGCTTTCAAATCAGTTTGTAATACTTTGAAGAGCTAGTTATCTCTAACTATAAAAAGGGTTGTCCTAAGGAGAATCCAATCATAACAACCTTTAAAAACACACAATGTTGTGGTGCAAACTTGGGGCTCTATTGTGCAAGGGTTGGAGTTAATAATTGTCGTGACCTGTAATAATTTTCTTTCATGTGGTATGCATTGTGTATCTCTCAAGGTTAAGGATCCTCTGTGCCAAATCTCTCTATCCTCTCACTTTAATGCAATCGTGATCATTAGATCATATAAAAATCTTAAAATATATGAATATTAAGATTTGATTCTATGATTCGATAATTAAGAATACATTGTGATTTAGAGATAGAGAATCACAAAGTCAACCCTGTTAAGTTTGAATATGTGGTCCTAATTATTTTGGAATTTTCCAGTTTGAGATTTCAGCAGTATTAGGTTGTTGAATATAGAATAGTTTGGATTCCACAATTCACAGTGGCCATGCTTTGAGAAGCATTAGTGATCACATTTTCTGGTATGTCTGCATTTTGAATTTATGAAGAGATTGAGGTTAAAATATTGATCTCAACATATACTATAAAACTTAAACATTTCCTATAGGCTTAGAAGGAACTCATTCCAATTGAAACACTTGAGAAAACAAAATAAAATATTTTTTGAAACTAGTTCTAGTCAAAAGAAAAAACACCCTGAAACTTTTTAGCAGCTTTTGAGGAATTTTACAAACAGAGATATGAAAAGGTGATCCTACTACATCTAGTTGTGAACTATCTTCAGGTTGATAGTTACTGAAATATTCCAAATTCTATGTACTAACAGTAAGAATGCACAAACAGGACTTCTGTAACAAAATTCACCATTCAGAAAGAAAATTTCAGGAACACAGAATCCATTTTATTGCATGGGTGGCACTATATCTGAATGTGATATAGTAATAGGGAAACAAAGATGGCTGAATTGAAAACCAAATATGCTATTAATTTGTTTGTGTCTATATTAAAGAGAGGGAGAGAAAGGATAGAGGGTTTTTCTCCATCTTGTTCTGTTCCTTTGAAATCCCCAAAATTATAAGCCTAAGTTTCTATAATATAGCTCCAAATTCCAATTCCAAAAGGGGAAATTACAGGAAGGAGCAAATCCCATGGTGATTCTAAGCTTCCAAGCAATAGTAGTCCAGTTTCTTTCAACCATTCTACTCTTTGTTTATTGATCTTATCATCATTAAATTTTAAAAAAAAAAAATTATAAAGCTTTTCTTGTCTCTTTCAACCATTGTTTTAGAAGTAAACATAATAACTCTTTTTGAGCCAAGTTTGGTGCCATATTGTAGTCTTTTTTATTTGGGGTTTAGCATAATAACCAAAACAATTAAACTAATCTAAAAACAACAAAAATCAAAACAGAATTTAACTGCAGACTTGAGACTTAAGGTGGTTGCATGACTGTATTGTGAAAACAAGCAATTTAAATCAATAGATAACAGTCCAGATAGCTAAACCTAACGCCACCTATTTGTTTAGAAATCCACCCTGCAACATTTAACTTTGCACCCATCCTTGCGGCTACAATATCATCACCACTGCCTCTTAATCGCTCCTGAAAATAAAACAACTCATGGAATAGATTAATTAAATAATTAATAAAGTTCACTTTTGATGACAATTTTCACAAAGACTGCAAGACATTAAAATGATAATTAATAAAGTTCACTTTTGGGAAACAAATTGCTTAAACCACTTCCGGTCTTTAAATTGAACATCTTGAAGAATTCGGTTGACCTACAGCCAACCAAAGGGATAACACAAATTTTTATCAAAAACATTAAAATGATTAGGCAATCAAAGTGATAGGCTAAATATAAGACACACGTTGATACATTTATCACAATAAGGAAAAAAAAATCAGCATTTATATTTTCAACCGCACCTAGTTATTTTCCCCTTCAAGTTCCCAGCCTGTACAAAGCTAATGAGGGAATCGACATTACCCTCAGATTCAATGTGCTCCACTTAAATAAATTTTCTTTTACTCCAGCTCTTGGAACATCCTACTTAATTAAAAGTTGCCCGTGAATGAGAATTTCCTAACATATCATATAATGAAAACCATTGGCTTAAGGTATAGTGACTCGAAACCTAAAAACAAAAGCAACAGCCATGATGTCCATACCTCAAAAAGGAAGTATATCAATCAAGAAAGTACATAGTTTGAGATAAAGAGTTCAAAAGGTAGCCAGCAATAAAACAGTTTAGTACAAGGAGTTAGTAGCACAATTATTCGGTAGAGATAAAAGAAGCTCTTCTGCAACTTAGACCTTATGAATGGAACCCATATTTTTAGACCTTGGAGCATCACCATTATTGTGTTTGTCCATAACAACATCCAATCAATATTTTTTAAAATTTAACAACCAAATTCCAGTGAACTTATCAAAAACTAAAGACAAATACATACAAATTTATTTTAATCTAGACAAAAAACAAATCATCAAAGAAGTTATATACAGGGTGTAGATTCTGCCAATATGGGATGGGAAACTGGAATGGTAGCTATAAATTTAGAAGAAAACTAAGATATCCTTTCCTTTGACCATGGACAACATCAGGTTCTATTTTAGTGTGACCTTCTGAAGGTTTTGTTTCAAAACAAGATGGAACCCTGTACATCCATCAAGCCTATAAGCTCTGAGATAGAGAAAAATAAAAGAGAATGATTGAGAAAACACTTAATAATTAGGAAATATTTATAGAAGAGATAAGAAGGTGTGAAGGTATTGACTAGTGACAATATCCCTGTAAGCAAAACCTGGAGCTGCTAGAGTCGGCTTCTCTAGAAAGATCAAAATTGAACTTAAGTAAATCTCAGAAGTTGAAGATAAACTGCTGAAGAGATGACACTACAACAATGGCAACAAGTTAGTCAGAATCTGAAAAATATTTGGTTGAAGTAGGGGTAATACAAATCAAATACAAATCAAATCAATTCTGAAGTTGAATTAAAACACAAACTATTGAAAACAAATTCAAATCCGGATTGCTACAGTTTAGCTAAGAAAATTCACCACTTTTTATGGGTATACCTACCAATGTCAAGCAATTCGACCCATAAATCTGATCTGACAATTTTTCCAACTTTGAACCAAATATCTCTCACAAGTTTCATAAAGACGCATGATTGAAGAATCCACCAATTGCTCATAATATATATATATATATATATAGAAAAGAAAATTTGAATTAAACAAAAAACCCATCAAATTCATGTAACAGAAAATCAAACCCACGACAACAATGAAGAAAGAATAATCAAGACCCACCAACTGTTCGATCAAATGTATGAATCAAAAAATGCCGAGATTTGATCAGAAATTGTTACCTTAGTACCAAGGGCTGCTTGGCGGATCTCCTCCTCAGGGATAATAACAGGTCACTGCTCACCGGCGTCGCGGAACATTTGCTCGGTCTCGAGAAGCTGACCCTTGTCGAGAATCATGGTCCTGCTGGTCGCTCGTCCAAACCAAAATTCGCCGCTCGTCGCTCGCCTCCGTGAGAGTGAGAGAGAGAGAGAGAGAGAGTGTGTTGTTTCGAAACTTAGGGCTTTGCAAACCTGAAAGGAAATGAAAAAATGGGGGAAAGACGGAGGGAAAAAAGGGGGGAAAGTTTGGACGGGCGAAGAAAGGGGAAAATTTATTTCATTTTTATTTTTACTTGATAGAAGTAGAAGTAATATTTTAATGAAAAATATTTTTCATTAAAATAAAATTAATTTTTTATGATCCATGAAATTTTTTTTTTTTGTGGCCTATTTTTTTTTTTGTTACTAAAAATCAAGAACTAATTTTTTGTGGTAGAGGAGAAGGAACGACAGTAATGGTGAAGGTGGTGGATAAGAGGTGATGGTGGTGGTGATGATGGTGAAGGAGATTAGTGGTGAAGTTGTGGTAGTCGTAGAGAAGATGGAGTGGCGGTGGTAGAGGAGAGGTAATAGTGGTGGTAGTGGTGGTAGTGGTAGTGGAGTGGTAATGATGGTGGTAGTAATGGTAGTCGTAGAGGTTGAGTGGAAACAATGGTAATAATGCTGGTAGTGGAATAACATTTGTAGTAGTAGTGAATGTGGTAGAGGAGATGGGTGGTGAGAGAGAGATGAGTGAGAGACAGATAGAGAGAGAGAGACATAGAGAAAGAAGAGTGATGAGTGAAAGAAAGACAGAGAGAGAAAGAGATAAAGAGAGACACAGAGAGAAAAAGATAGAGACAGAGACAGAGAGAAACAAGAGATGAGTGAGAGATAAACAAAGAGAGAGAGAAAGAGAGCGAAAATATATGATCGAGAGAAAGACATAGAAAAAAAAAAGATAGAGAGAGAAAAATATGAGTGGGAGAGACAGAGAGAGATGAGTGAGAGAGATAGATAGAGAAAAAAAAAGATGAGAGAGATAGAGAGAAGAGACATGAGCGAAAGACAAAGAGAAAAAGAGACAGAGACAGACAAACAGAGAAGAGTGATGAGTGAAAGAGAGAAAAACAAGAGAGAGAAAGAGAGAGAGAAGAGAGATGAGCGAGAGAGACAGAGAGAGAAGAGAGATAAGAGAAGAGAGAGGGTGAGAGAAGAGAGATGAGCAAGAAAGATAGAGAGAAGATAGATGAACGAAAGAGACAAAGAGAGAAAATAAATGAGAGAAGAGATAGATGAGTGAGAGACACAGAGAGAGAGATACAGACAGACAAATAGACAGACAGACAGAGAGAGAAGAGTGATGAGTAAAAGAGAGAAAGAAAAGAGAGAGAAGAAGATGAAAAAATGGGTGAAAAGAAACAGACAAAGAGAGAGAGAGAGAAAAAGAGCGAAAAGAGATAAACGAGAGAAATACAAGGAGAGATGAGCAAAGAAGCGAGAAAGATAAAGAGAAGAGAGACAGAGAGATGAGAGAGATAGAGAGAAGAGAGATGAGCGAGAGACACAGAGAGAGAGAGAGACAGAGACAGAGACAGAGAAGAGTGATGAGTGAGAGAGAGAAAGAGAAAGAGAAGAGAGAAGAGAGATAGAGACAAAAACAGAGACACAGAGAGAAAGAAAGAGACAGACAGAGAAGAGTAATGAGTGAGAGAAAGAGTAAGAAAGAGAAGAGAGATAGAGATAGAGACACAGAGAGAAAGAGAGAGACAGACATAGAGAAAGAGAGAGAAAGAGTGATGAGTGAAAGTAAATTTTTATTTTTCTTTCAGCGACTAAAATATTTTTTAGTCGCTAAAATTAAATTTTTGCCGACCAAACTTTTGGTCACCAAGGATAAAAAACAAATTTTTATTTTTCATTCAGCGACTAAATTATTTTAGTTGCCAAAACTATCTATACCGCGACCAAAATATTTTTTAGTCGCTGAAATTAATTTTTTGGTGACCAAAATTTTGGTCGCCAAAGATAAAAAGTAAATTTTTATTTTTCATTCAACGACTAAATTATTTTAATTGCCAAAACTATTTATACCGCGACCAAAATATTTTTTAGTGGCTGAAATTAAATTTTTGCTGACCAAAATTTTGGTCAGCAAAGATAAAAAGTAAATTTTTATTTTACATTCAGTGACTAAATTATTTTAGTTGCCAAAACTATCTATACCGCGACCAAAATATTTTTTAGTCGCTGAAATTAAATTTTTGCCGACCAAATTTTGGTCAGCAAAAATAAAAAGTAAATTTTTATTTTTCATTCAGCGACTAAATTATTTTTGTTGCCAAAACTATCCATACCGCAACCAAAATATTTTTTAGTCTCTGAAATTAAATTTTTGCCGACCAAAATTTTGGTCAGCAAAAATAAAAAGTAAATTTTTATTTTTCTTTCAGCGACTAAATTATTTTAGTTGCCAAAACTATATATACAGCGACCATAATATTTTTTAGTCGTTGAAATTAAATTTTTGCCGACCAAAATTTTGGTCGCCAAAGATAAAAAGAAAATTTTTATTTTTCATTCAGCAACTAAAATATTTTTTAGTCGTTGAAATTAAATTTTTGCCGACCAAAATTTTGGTCGCCAAAGATAAGAGGAAATTTTTTATTTTTCATTCAGCGACTAAATTATTTTAGTTGCCAAAATTATCTATACCGCGACTAAAATATTTTTTAGTCGCTGAAATTAAATTTTTGCCGACCAAAATTTTGGCCGCCAAAGATAAGAAGAAAATTTTTATTTTTCTTTCAGCAACTAAATTATTTTAGTTGCCAAAACTATCTATACCGCGACTAAAATATTTTTAGTCGTTGAAATTAAATTTTTGCCGACCAAAATTTTGGTCGCCAAAGATAAGAAGGAAATTTTTATTTTCCTTTCAGCGACTAAATTATTTTAGTTGCCAAAACTATATATACAACGGCCAAAATATTTTTTAGTCGCTGAAATTAAATTTTTGCCGACTAAACTTTTGGTCGCCAAAGATAAGAAACAAACTTTTATTTTTCATTCAGCGACTAAATTATTTTAGTTGCCAAAACTATATATACAGTGACTAAAATATTTTTTAGTCGCTGAAATTAAATTTTTGCCAACCAAACTTTTGGTCGCCAAACATAAAAAAACAAATTTTTATTTTTCATTCAGCGACTAAAATTATTTTAGTTGCCAAAACTATCTATGCAGCGACTAAAATATTTTTTAGTCGCTGAAATTAAATTATTGTCGACCAAACTTTTGGTCGCCAAAGATAAAAAAACAAATTTTTATTTTTCATTCTGCGACTAAATTATTTTAGTTGCCAAAACTATCTATACAGCAACTAAAATATTTTTTAATCCCTGAAATTACATTTTTGCCGACCAAAATTTTGGTCGCCAAAGATAAAAAGCAAATTTTTATTTTTCATTCAGCGACTAAATTATTTTCGTTGCCAATACTATCTATACAGCGACTAAAATATTTTTTTAGTCGCTGAAATTACATTTTTGCAGACCAAAATTTTGATCGCCAAAGATAAAAAATAAATTTTTATTTTTCTTTCAGCAACTAAATTATTTTAGTTGTCAAAACTATCTGTACAGCGACTAAAATACTTTTTTAGTTGCCAATTGTGGCAAATGTAGCGACTAAATTTTTTGTAGTCGCCAATTTTGAGATTTTTAGCGACTAAAATGATTTTTAGTCTCCAAAAATTAATATACCCCGACTAAAAAAATTTAGTAGCTAAATATTGTAATTTTACCGACTAACATAATTTTTGGTCGCCAATTCAACAACTTATGGCAACCAAAATATTTTTAGTCGGCAAAAGTGATCGCCAAAACTGTATTTTCTTGTAGTGACTCAATAACTAAATTCTATGAACCAAATAATCAATAAGTTCAATTCTATCAACTCAAAAAAAGTGTCCTACAATGAGGAGAAATAAGCAACTAAACAAATCTTATAATAAGAAATGAATTATCAATTGATTCAATTCTTGCCTTGACCTATCAATTAAAAGCATACAAGAATAATCAAAATAATAAAATGGAAAATTTTAAAAATTTTAAAAAAGCAAAAATTTTTACATAATTTAAAGAGGGTTACTATTATAATTTTATAAATGATACATAATACATAATCTTTATATATATGAATAACAGTTTAAATATTGAAAATTTAGGAAGGACACATGACCCCCGGTACCTTAGGTGGCTCCGCCCCTGGTAATTGCCATAAAAAAATGAAGGCTCCAACTAAATCAAAAACTAATTCAACACTCCTAATTCTACTCAACTGCTTCAGATTTTCGTAAATCAAACTACTCCATGATATGAAACAAGTCCTGCATGGTAACAAGTTATCACATGACAAGCTTGTACGCCTATCTATATGCACAGTCTTCGTGTGGCCATTAGCATTTTCTTAATATCTATGTATATGGGCTAGCTGTTTCAGACATAGAATACTAAGGCCAAGTTTGGCATGTCCAGTAAAAGTCAAAAAGTTAAAAAGTTAATCAAAAAGTTAAAAAGTTAACACTATTCACCAAAAGTCAACAATTACGGCTGCACAACTTCCAATACTAATTTTCTCCTACAAACCAATTTTTATAATTTTTTATTACACATTTTTTCATAAAAAGTCAAAAAGTTAACCTAAACATCTATATTTTATTCCTCGATTTTTTAGTCTAAAAAGACAAAAAGTACACTTATTTAGGACATCCCAAACAACTCCTAAATCTGGAAAAAAAAATTATTCATGTAATTCTTTTAGCAAAAAATTATGTACCCAGAACTCATAATATAAATATGTAGTTTAGATATAGACTTGGCGTGGTATGAGTTATATCCTGAATCAATCTGATATATGCATTTTAAATTATGGACACTTTTCTTCATACATAACATTGTTGTAAAACATATCATCCCTTACAATTATTCTTGGTACAATATTTTCACATATTATCAACAAAAAGAAAATTAAAAAAAGAGACTTATCTAGATCGGCCTATCTTCATGTTTCATGAAGAAGAATAGCTGAAAGAAGTGCTAGTGGGAATAGAAACATCAACAGATCCTTCTAACATTTGTGTTACCATCTTCAGTGTAGGCCTTTTTGAAGGATCCTCTTGTATATACCAGACGCTGTCAAGATCCACCGGCCCAGGGTCCCGTTATCTTCGATGGCAGCCTC